CATCACTAATATGTGCATGCCACATAAGTGGGAGCATATTAACATGTGTCCACCGTGAATAGGGAGGTTTACTCGTTTTTCATATCAAATTGTGTGATCAAATAATTAAAAAAAAATGAATAAAGTGGAATATGAATACGAAATCGGCCCCCAGGGCGTGAGGGCAACTGGCTGATGGAGAAGAGGTAAAACCTTCACTACAAAATAAATGTTATATTCCAACGGAAAATCCTATGGTAATATATTCCAATGGAAATTCCAACGGATATTCAAATGGAATAGCTTTCGTTGGAATAGTTCCAACAGAAATTCCAACGAAAATATTCCGTTGGAATGTGTTTTTCATTGGAATTTTAGATGGAATTTGATGATTCCAACGGCTATATTTCCAACGGTTTTTTACCGTATGAATTTCCGTTGGAATATGTAAATTCCGTTGAAATTTTTTTTCCTCTCCCATTGGAAAATCCACCGTTGGAATCGTCAAATCCAACAGAAATTCCAATGGAAAACTCATTCCAACGGAATATTTTCGTTGGAATTTCCGTTGGAATCTATTGAAAAATTCCAACGGAAATAATAGTATTGAAATATCAGTTGGAATTGCCGTTGGAATAATTATTTAGAAATATATTTCCGTTGGAACTTCATCATTTTCTTGTAGTGCTTGTTGATGCCAGAGGTCAGAAGTTCGATCCTGAGATAGTGGGAGTAGTGGATGGGGCACTGCTACTTTCATGGGTGGATTAGTCTCACCCTCTGAGCGTGGATCCCGTAGCCTCACGGACCTGGATAGGCCCACACCTCCCGGGTAAGGCTCGGTGAGTGGCTTGAGAGTTCATGGTGAGACTCCAAATTGAATGTGGGAATACCACCCAGTTGACAAATAAAAAAAAAAAATCGTACGAATTCAAAAAGGAAAAACAATTATTTAACTGGGCCCAACGTACGAATATATGTTGATTATGAGGTTACAATTGTCCAAAAAGTACACATTGGCATTGAGAGTTTCTCTCTCCAAAACACAAGTGCTATTATATCAAGAAGAAAGAATAAAAACAGCCTTTTGAAATGATGATTCAGTTTGAAAAACCTATATATAATGCTGGCCAATTTCAAGCACCATTATTATGAAGTCTACAAATTATATATGACCATGATGAATAAGCTTTATGAGATTAATTAATTGACCAATTTCTGCTAAAAAATAAACACACTAATTAAATTTTGTAAAAACTAATATTCTTTATAATTACATCAAATTAGATGATAATTAATATTAATTCACCACTAAATAAAGTAATATGATATGTGTAAGAAACGGGAGAAAAACGAGTGTCGTCTCATGCACATGAATTGCACCAAAACAGGGAAAACTCATATGAAACCCAAGTGGACCCGTCAACCCCCGTTTCTTCAATATGTTAATTAGACACCCATTTACGTTTCAACACATATATATATATATATATATATTTAAATTATATTATTATTATTATTATTATTATTATTATTATTATTAACAAATAACATATACTCCTATATGTTTTATATATTACTCGCATAATAATTAGACCGTCTCAATTACTGTGATAATTCACATTGGAGTACGTGTCCAATTGATAATTGGAAATAATATATATATATAGACAATGATTAATTAGTAAATAATTATTGTTAAAAAAAAGTAAAACTACTAGTGGTGAAAAATGAAAGATTAAATATATTTATGCAAAAACTAAGAAAAAAAATTACATACTATAGGAATTAAATCTCAATATGAATAAATTGGTATCTAATTCAAGGTCACAATAGCTGGCAGGACAGCAAATATGTACGGACGGTATAACTAAAAAATACAATAGCACAAAAAAAAAAATTAAATTAAATTAAACTGGTCACTACAGATAAATAATTACTGTTAGTAATTTTCCAGTTACTAATTCCTCAGTGGAATGATAGTTACAGTTTACATTTAGCAGCATGCCTAAAATGGTCACTACATATATATATATATATGCTATGTTATTGTGTATGCAGTTCTATATTAAACCCGACAGGCTTAATTTACCAGTGAAATAGAATATATATAAATTTTCTTTTGTATATTCATACGAATGTGTGTTGATAAAAGGGTAAAAAAATCGATAACTGTCGTATGGCGGAATTTGTGCATTCACTGATAGAGTGAAGTTTTCCCTAGAAATTGATCATTCGTTTAGAAAGAACGAGATAAAATTAAAAGTACGAAATAAATAGTGGACGAAATTACAAATTAACTTATTTTAATAGAAATATGATTTTTTTTTTCTCGTCTAAAAATTCATGAATAAATATGAATATTAAGTTCTTACCGCGTGAAATTGAAAATACACGCGTGTGGCTAAACCTATCCATTATTTTAATTGAACCTTCGTATTTTTTTTAACCGAAATGTAGAATATTTACCAAAATTATGTGACTAATTCTACTGTAAAAAAAAATTAATCTTTAACCTAAATTTTAATCTTTTCACATTAATTTTTATGTGCTTTGAGAGCAACTTTAATTATAAAGAGTGGCACAAAAGGGACTGCCAAGAATAAGTAACCTAACACTTAGGGTGCTTTTGCATTACAAGCAAGCAATGAGAGGTTCTTTGATGCCCAAAAGTAACAAGTGGGCCTCAAAGCATTTACTGTGAACATTAAAATATATTATAATCATGGAGAATGCTACCATCCCGTTACGGGATGGTAGCATTCTCCTATAATCATATTACTTTTTCCATTCATTTATTACTTATGTTTTATTTATTAAGTTGTGGGGCTATCCATCCCGTTACGGGATGGTAGCATTCTCCTATAATCATATTACTTTTTCCATTCATTTATTACTTATGTTTTATTTATTAAGTTGTGGGGCTATGACAATTGACAAGCAACCACAAAAATTGCCACCATTGTACAAACCATAGGTCAAATCTAAAATTAGTATTTCATTAAAAGAGTCATATAATAAAATTTTAAAATGTTCAATTACAAAAAAAAAATAATACTTTTTGTGTTAAATATCATAGTGCAATTTATATTATATTTTAAAGAATTATATTTGAATGTAAAAGTATTTTCATTTGTTGAAACATTAGCGAGTGATTGTTTATAAATTTCAACTAGTTTTTATTTGATTTGTTTTTTAACTATAGTTAATTTTAGACTGCTTGTTTATTGATTTCAACTAGTTTTTATTTTGGTTTGTTTTTTTAACTATAGTTAATTTTTTTAAAAAAAATGTGGTATATGTGGTTAGTTGATAGTAAATATATTAAAATAATATTTAAATAAAATAATTAAATTTGATTTTACATAAAGTATAAGAAAAATGATCGTATGTGATGGTTAGTTATAATTATATGAGTGGATGAATATTGAATCAAAATTGATGTGATATGTATGAATGATTGGTTGATATTATTTAATCATGTTGATAATATTGAGGATAATGAGGTTTGAGTTAAAATTGAGTTAAATTTAATTTTTTTTTTTTTTTTTTGTGAATTGATGAACAATTACACCTAGGTGTTGCGTTAGGTCGACCTAATCATACTCTTTTCAGAAATATACATATTTCCGTTAGAAAAATGTCATATTTTAAAAAATATCATAAAATAAGTATAAATTTCTATTCATAGAGTATGACAGGCCGACCTGTCTAACAATTATGCTCTGTCATACTGTAATTTGTATCGTTGGAATAATATAATTGTCTAACTATTAGACAACCAGAATAAATAAATAAAAAAAAAAATATATTGGATGCCACTTTCTATCAAGATTGTAATACTATTAAAGTTGGAACTTTAGGTCTAGGTTAAATCCGAATGCTTTCATTATAACTACATTTTGACGCTTAATTGTACACATATAGTGCAAATTACAATGCCTTCTATTTACTATCAAAAACTCATCAAGTGATTCTTTGAAAAGAGGAAAAAAGAAAACAAAAGACCAGTCATATATTATTGTATAAAATACATGTATAAGAGTAGCAGCAGCTCAGAGGCAATGAAGTGATACAGGTAAATACAGAATAATATATCCCAAAAAAAAAAAANNNAAAAAAAAAAAATAATAGTAATAAATCAAAACAATTTACTCAATCAAAAAATTCCAAGAAAATGTCAGAAAATAAAATCGGAAAATTATTAACCGACCGCCCGTCACATGCTCCCCGTCCTACCTGGCGCTGACCTGTCAGCAGCCGGCTTGAATTTCGACATATCGACAAGGTCCCCAAACAGCTTATCCTCAGGCTTCGAAGGCTTCCCGGACGGCACATATGAAACCGGGTAAGACGAGCTCTTTATCATACTATTGTCCGAAACAGATAGTCCAGACAAATTCTGCTCGAGAAACTGCCCGTTCAGAGGTTGACTTTGACCATATCCGTATGTGGGCCCATATCCATATCCACCCATTTGGTTGCCATACATCTGTTGGGCCTGTGTGTACATGTAACCCGATTGCATAGGTTGAGGATACATGCCATCGGGCTGATGCGGGCCCGTGGCCAGCTGGCTGTTGTTCTGCACTGCCAAGTCGCTGCTGCTGATTGGTTGAGGTTGGCTAATAATGGCCTGCTCGTGATCATGATCATCGAGTTGAGCTTCCCAAGGAGGTGGAGGAAGAGAGCTAGTACTAGGAGAACCTACCCAAATGCATAAATAAAAAAAATACGATACTTTAATCAAGGTTTTCCAAAATTTTACAAACAGACACTTCAGATGTTCAGTAAGTACGGTTACGCACCGTAAACCGGCTGTTCAAATTCAGGTGCATTGGGATTAGAATCTTGTGGAGGCTGAAAATTTGTAGGTGGTGAAAGATTGGAGCTTTCTTGTCCAGTTGAATTCGAGGATTGATGAGCATTATTAAGGTTGTCATCACTCTGTGTAAACATATCGACTAAATCGAGCGGGTTGTGTTGGGACCCGCTGCCAGGCTGGATTTCGCCAGCTGGCACCAGTGCAAGAGAGTTTTTTTCTGTCGGTGAATTGAAACCGTCCCAACTTAAAAGGTCAATGCTTTGATCGGCTTTTGTTGTTGTTGTTGTTGTTAGTTGACCATTGGACCTGTATAACGAACATTTTGAAATCTTATATAAGAAAAATGTTCTTGATTATTTGTCCGAATCTAAATAGATAAAAAAAAGTATCGGGAAAAAATGTGAACTAGTTTAACCTTACCCTTTATTCGAGTGTTGATCATCGCCCGTGTCAATAAGGGGAGCATCAATATTGACCAAAGGTTGATGATCAGTTTTGAGGTTTGACTTCTCTGATTGAATAGGCGCAGCTCCCGAGGAAATCGATTCGTGCTTAGCTAGTAATCGTTGCAGGTCATCATTTAGGGCTAATCCTTCGTTTAACAGCGACTCATCCCTGATCCAGATCAAGACTAAACTAATAAAAATGGTGTTTGACTTCTTTCAAGTTGTGTTTGGTAAACATATAAGATAGCTTATAGCTTATCTTCATGTATTCAAATAAGCGTGGTTTGATATAACAAGTTTTCTTAAAAAGCTCGAGCTTATCACATAAGCTACCTTGGGTAGCTTTTCAAATAACCAATTGAAATTTTATTTCAGCTATCAACTACTTTTACCAAATACTTTTATCATATAAGCCAATTTTTCAGTCAAAAGCTATCAACTATAAGCTCGAAATTCACTTAAAAACTATAAGCTAGTTTATCAGCCAGGTTTACCAAACATAACCTTAGTCTTAAAGGTAATAAAGATACCTTGATCAAGATCACGACAAGACGAGTAAAAATGGCAACAAGGGCAAAAAGGTAAAATAACGCCTTACGTGGTGGAGTTAACGAGGTGAACCACTCGATGCTTATATGTACGACATTGTTCGACCAAATCAACAACAACATCTTGCTTGATTCCCTGCCACAAAGCAAATACAACGAAATTAAATATTCCAATTTCGTGCTACGAAAAAACTATCTGTTAATCTGGTAAACGTAAAAAACAAAAGCAAATATGGCCCATTTAACATTGACATTACCTCGTTGTTAGCAGGATCTATAGCATTCAACATATCTGCAAGGACATCCATAATACCACGTGCATTTTGAATTTCGGTCAGGCTAAATCACCAAAAGACAAATGAAAAAAAAAAAAACACCATAATTAGAACAAATACAACTAAAGGCGAAGGGAGAACAAATGGTGTGGAGGAAAACGATGAAAACTATCATGTAATCGTAAGAAAGCAACACAAGCTTTACCAAATGTTTTAAAAATGGGCAACAATGATAAAATGGGGAGAAAATAAAATGACATTAACAATAATAAAACTATTAAAGATCACGCCTCTCGCCATGTTCTTATGAAAATTGAAAAACTTCATGCCGAAAACTGCGAGTGCAAACATGTAGAGAAGAGCTTAAACTTTCCTATCAAGCAAAGGTGTACCTCAATGTAGGGAATTCAGCTTCTGCAGATGACTCAGCTGGACCTGGTCCAGATTCAGGATTACGATTATTTTGTGGATTCTCGAAAGCAGGTGCCGAAGATTCAGATCTCTGAGGGAAAACTACCCCGAGACGCTAATAAAAATACCAGAAAATTGCGAAAATACACATAAACAATGAATGCCATTGTGTAATCCAGAACTTGCATTAGAAAATGCATTACTAACTATTAAGATGAGAAAATATTTCAAATGATGTACCAACAAATCCTGGTATGCTACAAAATATTGAGGATATCTTGCTCTTGGTCCGCCAAAAGCTTCTTGCCAGGTATCTATTAGAATCAATATTTTCTCTCTTACATGAAAATCCGGCTGCGACAGTGAATTCTCAGTCAGCAAATTGCGGTGGAAAGCATTAGAAAAGACAATGTATTAAAAGTACCTTCTTCTTCTTCACAATTCTCACCATCTGATGAGGTAATTCCTTTTGAGCAACGTGCATATGAACAATATCCCCACAGTTCTTCACAATGGTTTCCAATAGCTTCAATATGAAAGAAAAAAAAAAAAAAGAAATCCCAGATTTGTTCATTGATTGTACAGAGTTAATCAAATTGAGGAAACAAAATCAAGATAATCAAGCTTACTGTTAAGGCAAGAAGCTGCACTTTCGCGTTCCTTCTGCGAATACGCTTCTTTATACTTTTTACGATGTCCTTTGCTTGCCTATTACACATTAAACAGAACATAAAGCTCACATAATATAACACCACATCAACAACAATTTTACTCTCTGAAAGTTAATGCATACAAAATGTTAACCTCATGGCAAAACACTAACTCAAAGCACCAGCACAGAACAGGACTAACAGCATTCCAAAATTACTGCCACACAGATTATTGATTCCTCTAATTAGCCAACCCCCACAATTCTCCTGGCATATTTATTAGACTAAATCAAAATGACTCAATTAAATTCTAGTGTTTCTTCTATTAGTGAAGTTTCTAGAAAAAAATATATCAAACGACGCAATGCACCTTGGTCGCTACGGAAACAACCTCCTTGTATAATTACAAGGGTAAGATCTGCGTACAACTGACCCCCAGACCCCAACCAGTTGGGAATATACTGGGTATGTTGTTGTTGTTGTTGTTGTTATTGTTGTAATTAGCCAACCCCCGCAAAAGTTTTATTACCCAGCAAAGATAGAACGAGGGTCAACAACAAACTAGACGAAATCCTCTGACAGACAAAACCACACAACAAACAAACATGGGGGGCAAGGATCAAGCTAGCAAAATTGATAAGATTTGAGGAAATGAACTTGCAGCTGGAGAAATTACATGGGGTCGTAATTGCAGATATCACAGATCTCAGCGTTTCTCGCCCAATCGGGACCGATCAGCATGTCGCTCGTCGCTCTTTCTACCATCACATTCACCATTTTTTTTTTTCTTTACCTTTTCCTCAGCTCAAAATCCTGGGCCGGAAAAGATGGGGATTTGCAACCGGCGTTGGGAGGTCGCCGCCGGCGGAAACTTCAACCGGAATTACAAAAAAAGAAACGGAAAATCAAAGCTTCGATCTAAAGAAAATTCTCTTTCTTGATGGTAGGCCTTTTTCAGCTCGTTCCAACTTTTTAAGATTTGATGATGATGATTAAAAAAAGTTATGTAAATAATTTTTTGTTATAAATTAGAAAGTCGAAAGTGCAAGTTATATTTACCCATAATTATTTTTATTATTATATTAAAATATTATGTGAAATTGTTGTTTTTAAAATTATTGAATATATTATTTGATACTTTATGTATACTATTGTTGATTCAATATTTAATAAT